CCTAATCATACATGCCTAATCATGTAAATAATAACTGAAACCCTGCTTCGAAACTTTTGAAACATGCTCGTGAAACATGAATGTTGCATACACTTGTTTAGAGTTGTGTTTGCCCAAATTATGCTTGCTAGGTTAGTAAAACATGTTTGGCTATGATTGTAAATCACCTAGGATTATTTAGCGTAATTTTTGGAGCAAATTTTGTATTCAAGTTATTGCCAAATTTTGCTTTAAAAATAACTCTCCAAAATTAGGGTTTTGAGTTAAAATTGACTTTTATTTTATAATTCAAAATCTAACAAGAATTGGACTTTGGTCATAAAAGCAAAGTTGTAGAGGATTAAATTCTAAGCAATTTTTATTTTTGGGACATTTTCAAAAGATGTCATTTTCTTGCTCAAAATGATATTTGAAAACTGGTATTTGAAAATTTCTTAAAAATAGAAATTGAGAAAAATGTTTTCTCCTTTCGCGGGCCGTCGCCTCCCTTCTCGGCCCATGGCCGAAGCCGGCCCGGCCTGTCGCCGCGCCCCCCCCCGCTCGCACGCCCCGTGTTCGGCCCCGCCCAGCGCCGCGTCTGGCCTGCGCTGCGCTGCGCCGCGCCGTTCCCGCGCGTCGCGTCCCGACCGCGTCAGAGCGCGACCGCTGCGTGGCGACCATGCGCCGACGACGCCCGCCGCGTGGCAGCCACGGCCTGCCTCACCCTCCACGCGCGCGCCTTCTTCTGCCCGACCACGCTGCCTCCTCCTCATTCCTCCTCCTGCTCTCTCAGACGCAGCGCCAGCAGCTCCCGCGCGCGCCACGAGCTCGCCACCGACGCCGCCACTGCCCCGCCGGTGGCATATCCCCTCCCACACCTCCATTCCTCGATTCCCGCCGCCTGAAGCTCCGCCTAGCATCCCTGCCTCGCTTGCGCTCGCTTGCGGCCGCCGTCGTCGAGGTAAGGACCAAGCTCGGCGACCTCCTTCCTCTCCGGTGAGCGCGCTGCCGCGGCCAGGTGGTTCGTCACGCCGCCGGGCCACCTCCACCATCCCAACCGGTGCGGCTCGGCGTGGCGTGCACGCTGGCACCACCCGTGGCACCGGAAGGGCTCGCCGCCGGTGAGCACCGACCGGCGGAGCCCCTCCCCTGCCCTCGTGTCGCTGACCCGCAGGGCCCAGCCGCAGTGGCTGGCGAAGGCCCCGGGTGACTGGCCAGTGGGCCGGTTGACCCGCTGGGTCCCGCCTGGCAGCCCCTCTGGGTGCAGAGCACCGGGTGCACCCAACAATTTCGTCAGCTAGAGTTTAAAAAGATTTCAAAAATGAATTTTCAGATTTCTACTTAAATGCTTTGGAAAATGTTTGTGTACCCATTTTGGCTCCAAATTTGTTGAAACAAATTTTGCTAGGTTCCTTGTCACCAGATCTACATGATAAAATTATTGCATGTCATTTTTGAGATACTTTTTTGTAGAGCTTTATTTAATCCTTGATATTGCTGATAACTTAAAAAATGTGTAGAAAAACCTATAGGCTTCAGAAAAATATGATTCTAAGTTTGTTAATCTTCTTATGTAATGTACTTCCTAGGAAAAATATGTGTCATGCATGTACTGTAGAAAAATTATGTGGTGTAGTTCAAGTGCCTTTAATGGCTGGTTTTTGTTATTTTTGCTAGAGAGCAAAATTTGTATAAAACATGCATGTGATAATTTTTGTACAGTGATTATTTGCTGTGTAGAACATAGGAAAAACATTTCCTCTGTTGTTTGACACTCTTCACAGTACAAAGTATTTTCAGGTTCATAATCATGCCATAGCTTGTTATTTTTGTGTAGGCTAATCCACTCATTCAAATACCATGAAAATCTGATGGTAGACTACTTAGGGTAGTACTGTGATATGGTAATTTTCTAAGATTTTTCTAAGCAATAAAAATAGATGTTGCTATTCAAACCTATTATTAATTAGGGTTTAATCAAGTGTTGCTTTATGTGTGATTAAGAAATTAGTGAAGCTTTGGTGTATCTTTGAAGCATTTAATGAGAGGTGTTGACTTAACATATTAGTAGTAGAAGAGAATGCAGTAGATGACATGTGCTTGTAGTATATGTTTTTGGATTTTGACTGCCTTGCATTCAAGCACATCCATTGTATTCATCTCATTCGATGCACTGATTGCATAAGCACTTACGCACATTGCATCATACAGGATCATAATTCGAGAACCCAGTCGTCATACCCGAGGAGCCCGAGGAGCAGCTCGAGGTGCAGCCGCAGGAAGTGCCCGAAGCCGACGAGGAGGACGTTGAGGAACTTCCAGAGTGCCCGGATCACCGCCCGAGCTCCTTCGAGAGAGGAAAGCCCCGGAGCATTTTCTCCCCGGTTTGCAATTATTAATTAACTGCTTTACTTTAATTGATGCATTACGTTCAGAAGTTGTTTGCAACCGTTGCTGCATTATACCTTGTCTACCTTTGTTATACCATATCCTTGTTACCCTGGTATCCGCAGTCGAGTCAATGCTTAGCTGGCTTAGACCGGTAGAAGTAGGGTGATTTTCTGTCACCTGCGAGCTATAGGTGGTTACCTAGATCTGCTTGGATGACTATGTAGTCATGGTATAACTAAGTGTTAAATAAAGTTGAGACCGGACGGAGACTTACAGAGTTTTGGACTGTAGTGCTTTCCGTCTGTGTCGATTAAGGACCGACCGTTGTTGGGCCTCGAGTCATGTTGAACGCATGCCTTACATTTAGCTGGCCGAATAAAGTACCTTTCGACCGCGAAACTGGGAGATTATTTGGGCCGAGTAGATTACCCGCAGCGCACTATGCCGGAGCAGGTGTGGTAGGACACGGGGGCGAGATGATAAGACCAAAGTGCAGTCGGTCGGCCCCCGGGTACATGTGGTTCCTGGCAAACTCGAGCTTCCTGTATAGTTGACTCGGTGACCGATACCTCACTTTAGCGGGTGAGTGAGGTTTGTGTAAGGAATAAATCACCAGCTGTTTAGGAATCGATTCGAATCGCCATCGCTCCTGGATAGTGAGCACTTGACTTGAGTTACTTCATCGTAGTAATGTTGATGGAACACTTGGACAGTTATAATGAATATGACATTATGGAAGTTGATTAATGATCATAGGTTATCATTATTTGCTTAATCTCATGTTTACTCTAGTATAGGTGCAAATGTAGTCGACAGGTTAATAATAATTAACTTGACAATAATGCTTTTGGAAAGGTTCTTGAAATGATAAAAATGCTTCTTTTTGCAAATGAGTCAGCTACCCTACTATAAAGCCCTTCATATTCCTTGGTGTCACTTATTTTCGGTCATGTCGGGTAAGTCTAGCTGAGTACCTTCTCGTACTCAGGGTTTTATTCCCACTTGTTGCAGATGGGCAGATGTATTACGGCTACTGTATCAACTGTCTTTATCCTGCGATGGGTGATGCTTAGGACTATGGGCATGGTCATTCCTTACGTCTCGTCTGATGCTTTTGTTGGAGATGATCATTAGCTGGCACTGTATTTGAACTCCGTGTGAGTGTGTGTGGTTTTGAACAAATGGCTTCCGCTACTTTTATTCGAACTCGTTTTGTAATAACTATGTTTAAACTCTGATGTATCTGAGATGCAAACTTTTATGTAATATGTGATGGTGACCGCTAAACTTATTATGATCTTGGCTGGGATGTGAGTTGGTTTGAAATCCTTCGTGATTTCATGAACTACCGGGTTATACGGGCTTAAGTTTGCTAAATTGTCTGCTCTGGCGAATGATTTTCTTACTTAATTTCGTATAATTGGTCGGTTCTGTTACATCCTGCTCTCTTTCTGGCAATGAAGGTTTAAGCTTTACCCACAGAATTTTTACAATATCAATGACTGGTCGTTATTGACAATGAGCATGTTTGGTACAACTTATAACTTGCTTATGGCCAAAATAAGCTAAAATCAATAGCCAAACGCTACGCTTTTCAGCAGCTTATTCTGGCACGCTTACTCCCACAGCTCCTATTTGTACTAAAAAGCAGAAGCCGGATCAGACCAGCTTATTTTGACCGCCGCTTTTACTCTATTTGTGCAGCTTATCTGGGAAGCGTTTCCCATATAAGCTGTACTAAACAGGACCAATGATGTTTGAAGATTTTTTTTACAATACCAATGGTTTACCTATCATTGTTCAAAAGGTTTTAGTCAGGCATCCAAAACGAGGGACGCGTCAAATATGTGGAGTTGTGGACAACGTTGTGACCGAATTCTACTGTATCCTAACTCCTAAGATATAAGCATAGTGAGTTCATCATCCGGTAGCACGGATACAACTGTATCCTAAGATATTGTGATAGTTTTATTGTAAATATGTATGGTGCTCGAGTGTTTTTTTTCCCTCTCAACACTTGATCTCTCTCCCTCTCATTTTTCTCCAAATTCGTTCTCCCCGATATTGTGATAGTTTTATAGTAAATATGTATGGTGCTCGAGTGTTTTTTTCCCTCTCAACACTTGATCTCTCTCCCTCATTTTTCTCCAAATTCGTTCTCCCCCCCTCTTCTTCTCTAAATCCGGTGGGCACAAAACGGGGTTCGGGGGGAGGTAGGTTGGCCAAGCGATGGGAACAGCGGTTGGGCGGTTAGGAGCCCTGGCAGCGATGGATGCGACTGGGCGGGGGTGCCATGGCCGGAGCTCGCCGCGGCCGTGCTAGGGTTTCACCGGAGCTCCACGGCCTAGCGCGGCCGCGGCGGCGGGGGTGAGGAGGAAGATGAATAGTGAAGCAAAGAAATCGAGTGTGGGAACACTCGAGCAAGAGTAGACAGACTCTTGTTTTAAGGGGTTTATAAAATATTAGAATGTTTAATAGAAATGTAAAAAATAAAGTGGATAAATAAATAAATACATATACAACCGACTGAAGTAAATAAGTTTGCATCCCTGTTATTACAATTACAATGACAATGACGAAGAATTAATTCCACTAGACACCGTACCGAGGTAAAATAAAGTCAAGGATTATCAGATGGACGTGCTGTTAGGGATGCCCATCCCTGTGACACCGGGCTGAGAGAAGGGCTTCATGAGCTGGTACGGCACAATGCCGGCGCCGCACCGGTTCTTGAGCCTCCGGTCCTTGTTCCTCCCGTCGATGATGTCCTCGATCTCCTTGAGCCGCGCGTTGAACTTCCCGTACGCCGCCTGCACCGTGGCGTCGTCGTTCCACGGCGCGGTCTCCATCCCGCCGAGGTACTCCTCGTCGGGGGAGTGCGTGGACAGCAGGTCCAACACGGCCATCACCAGCGTCGCCTGCACCTGCGACGGGAAGCACTCCCGGAGCGCCTGGTCCGGGTTGTCCAGGAACGCCGCGAGCGCGGCGGCGTCGACGGGCTCCTCCACCGGCATGTTGGTGCGCGCGATGGACGGCCGGTTGGGGAAGTAGCCGGCGAAGTCGTACTGCCCGAAGTTGACGGCGGCGTGGTGCGCCGAGGCGACCCAGATGATGGTGGTCAGCGCGTGCGCCAGGCTCGCCGGCGAGTCCAGCGCCGGCCACCCTGGCGCGTCCTTCTTGTCGCCGTGCCCCACGGTGCGCACGTCCGTCCAGAACGCCTGCAGCTCCGCGTCGCCGGCGATGGTGCCGGCGTCGGGGTAGAACCTGGCGACGTACGCCGTCACCCAGCCCTTAATGGCGTCCCAGACGAGCAGGCCGTCGTTGGCGAACGGGTAGTCCGGGACCGTGAGCCTGAGCCCGTGCTCCGCGCTGGGGTCCTCCACGGCCATCCCCCTGCGGACGAGGTCGGCAGGGAGCGCCTCCGTGTCGAAGCGCCAGAGCTTGTCGTACGCGACGGAGCTGAGCTCCATGGCGTACCTCTGCGGCGAGAAGGAGAGCTCGATGATGCCGCCGGCGTTGATGAGAGCCGACCGCGCCAGCGCGTTGATCCGCATGGTGTAGCGGAAGTGCGGGTGCAGCAGCTGGTACACCGGGTGCATCTCGCTCAGCTGCCGGTTGGCCGCGATGATGTAGGGCTCCACGGCGCAGTGCGTGCGCAGCCAGTGGGAGACGAGCTCGTGGTGGCCCGAGTCGTGTGCGCGCACGTGCGACTTGGCCATCCGCCACAGCCACGACTCGGTGGTGTCCGTGGACGAGGTGAAGACGCGGCGCCATTGCGGCTGCGTCGGCGACGCCGGCCGCGTCAGCTCGATGGCCAGCAGCCGCAGCGTGCCGTCGTCGCAGAGGAAGAAGACGGTGCGCGAGCCGTACATGGTGGTGTTCGCCTGGGCACGGATCTTGTGCACGTACGGCAGGAACAGGTCGTGGTAGTCCAGCATGAAGAGCCGCTTCTGCGACACCGCCTCCGCCACCGTCATCATCGGCCCCATCTTCCGCTCCAGTACCTCCGCCGTGATCGCCGACTCCGCCGGCCCGTACACCGCCGGGTCCAGCTTGCTCTTCAGAGGGAACTCCTGCAACATTCGTATTTTCGGCATTGTGCAGGCATCAGACACGGATCATCATCAAAATAAAAAAAAGTTGTCTTGGACATGGAGATCGACTTACTCTGACGAGCTCGATCGCGTACGGGTTCATCCCGGCAAGCGTCTCCCTCGCGAACTCCTCGTCCCTCAGCCATGCAAACTTGTCCTCTGCATGCAACAAGCAGTCGGTGATCAATGAATTTGAATTTTCATGTTGCAAACAAATGTGAACTGCTGAATCTTTCATAGAATTCTTATGTGCTGAGTGAATGAAATTGAAAAGGCTAGAGCGGCGAGGTGTATGCGTACTCTGGACATTGGCGGGCGTGTCGAAGAGGAGGACTTGGTCGCCGGGGCCGTCGCGGAGGATCTGGAGCAGGCGCGGCACGGCGCTGCGGAGGAAGCCCAGCTGCTCGGCCTTGGGCAGCTCGACGCCGTCCTCGAACAGCTTGTCGATGACGAAGAAGGACGGGAATCCGAGGTCGGGGTCGATGAGCGTGGACTGCACGGCCGGCACGGCGGCGTGGAGCACGGACCGCAGCGTGGTTATCGAGAACTGCAGGTTCTTCACCTCCGAGAACGCCTCGTCCCTGGGCACGTAGTTGTCGCCGCTCCTCGTCTCCGTCTTGGGGTCCGTGGCCGACATCGGCCGGCCCGTGCGGCACCGCCGCGGGTAGGGGAACTGCGCGCTGCCGCCGAGGACGGGGCGCGCCTTCTTGCCGGCGTCGCTGTCGGGGTCGCCCAGGTCGTTGTACGTGTCGTAATCGTAGATGCGGTCGGTGGGCTTCCTCTCGCCGTGACCGTCGCCGCGCTTCTGCTCCAGGTCCTTCTTCCGGTAGCTCCGGAGCCCAGCCGGCGTCTGCCCCGGCAGGTAAGGCTGCACGCCAAGAAATTTTCAGTTCAGTGGAGGCCAAGAAATTTTCGGTGCTGATATAATAATGCAAAATCATCGCTCTTGTTGGGCCGTGGTACTTGGATCGGCCATCGTTGCTGTTGTTTTGGACCATGTGCAGTTGACGAGTTTTCAACTAGTTCACCCATCCTCCTCAAAAAAAAAGGCTAGTTGGCCCATCCATTGTCTCATAATATTCTTTCCGTCCCTCCGTCCATAAGAAAATATTAATTTTTCTCAAAAGAATAAAAAATATTATTATTTATGATACATAATTAGTATTATTAGATAAACCACTAAATATATTTTATAATAAATTTATTTGAAGATACAAATATTACTAATATTTTCTACAAATCTAGTTAAATTTAAGAAAATTTGACCATCACAAACTCTAGGAAATCTCTTTTTGAGATAGAGGGAGTACAAGTATATGTTTACAAACGGTATGATTTCAAAGTTATTGACGCTTTTAGTTTTTTATTTAAAATTAAACAAATCTTGTTATTTAACTTGATGATGGAATACTTAAATTACATACTCCCTCTGTCCAAAAAAAAATGACGTTATGGGATTCATGTCGGTCAGATTTTATTAAATTTGACTAAATTTTTAGAAAATATTAGCAATATATATATTTCTAAATAATTATATTATGAAAATATATTATGTGATTCATCTAATGATGCTAATTATATATCATAAATATCAATAGTTTTTTATATATATTAGGTCAAAGTTTAAAACATTTGACTTCTTATGAAGCGATAATGACATTAATTATAGGACGGAGGGAGTAATAGTTATCAAACCCTGCCGAATAGACTGACTACTCATCGTTTTAAAATTTAGATTGCTGTGCTGATAAATGCGAATTGAGTCATTGACATCGAACCCCCTCAATCCCGGATTAATTAATACTAGCTAGCTTATACTCCACCCTAAAACTAGCGGTCGTTTCTTGACGAATGGACACCGTGTGCCAATTTTATATTGATAAAAAAATAACACAAGAGATCTAGAGACCATGCATGCACTATTTAGAAAGCTTGACTTGTGATGCAGATGACGGTCTATAGTTTGAACGAGATGGTTTGATGGTCACATGGCTGAATAGCCTAAACCTACTTGTCAAGCTCATGTGATTTAAGTCGTTGGAGTACGGGTAAAGTACACAGTTTAATTATTTGGTAATTAATCCCGGACGACCGATCACAGTACCTTGTTAGCGAAGAAGACGCGCTTCCCGTTCCCGTTGGCGTCGGCGGACTTGGGCTCCACCCACGACTTGCACCGGATGGCCAGGAGCGGCGCGGCGCGGGCACCGTCGTCGTCGGCGTCGTTGCTGTCGGAGTCGGAGCCGGAGCCGGCCGCCGCTACCGAGGAGTAGAGGTTTACGTCCTCGAGGAACATCTCGGTGTGGTTCTCGTTGGTGACCAGCACGGCGCCGACGTCGCCGAAGCCCGGCGGCACGTCGAAGTCGGCCTCGTAGGTCACCACGTCGGCGTCGTTATCCGCCACCTTGTGGGCGTAGCTCTGGAGCCTGGGTTTCTCCTGCCCCGTCTCTGCTTATTCCATCATTTTCAAGAGAAATTAAGCAGCGGTTAATATTACTGCTAGCTTATTGTTTCACGATAATAGCAGATGATATTAGTTTAGTTTACAGCTGCTAGTATTGTACGTATATAGCATGCAGGAGCACGTACGTTGCTTACTTTGGTGTGGATGATGAACATGGAAAAAGCTAATAACAGGTATTTAATTTGTTTTGACAGTTTGCAACCACACTAGCCGGCGATTTTTATGAACGCTATTTATAAATGTAGGATTCGGTTGACAGCGAGGCATGCATGCACGCCACATCACTTCCTTGTGCACACATATATAGCACGTGCTTAAACCTATAGCATATATATATATATTAGTACATAAATCATAAAATGTAGTTTTACACACGGCAGCATCTCAAATTGAAAGCAGTTTAGGAAATAAAGTAGCTCAACTTGATCGAGTAGCAATTAAAATGTAGCCGGATCGACGTTGTGTCTTAACATCCACACACACCGTATACGACGTATCACGCACGTCGTAGATAAGAACGACTTGTGCAGTAGGTATCAAAAAGTTTGAACGCCCTGTTCAACTCTCGTACTGTTGGACCGGAAGCGACACTGCAAACGTGCTACACGAATTATATGCACATGTGTGGTATCTGATCTGGCATCCTACAACGAGCTAAGCTTTGGCCGCCGGCCGCCATATATGTGTGTGCGATTCAGACAACCTGTTCGCTTGGCTGATAAGCTATGGCAGTTGCATATGTGATGAAGCAGGCAGTTGCATAGAGCAGTGGTTCGTCGGTCAGTTCCAGGAAATTGGAATTAATGGATCCGTTTTTCGTCGTTGCAGCGGGCAGCGCCAAGTTTTTCCTCGCCATGGAATGGACCAGTTCAAAGTACGCACTTGCTAACGCAATGCTTGGTAACTTTCCAACAAGCAAGTGCGTGGTTCTCTTTTTTTTTCCTCGTCAAATTCCCCTTTTCTCATCAAAACTTTTCAAAGTGAAAATGAAATGACATGGGTACTAAAATAGCGACATGCGGCGATGTGTGTCAAATCTATCTTTGACCGACGACGATGAGGTACAACTAGTAGTAGGACCATGTATGTAAAGGGTCAATTAATATTGTTTTATTTATGCATACACTCTCTAATTAAGCTATATATATACTACTAGAAGAACTAATTAACACGTTCATTAATTAGGAGTCATTATTCTTTATTGATTATGATTTGCCTAAGTCTTCTCTTGCTAGCTAGATTCGTCCTATATATATTTGTAAAAAAAGGCAGCTTTGAGAAATTAAATATTAATGACTTCCAATCTTAGGTTGTTGATTTATTGCTAGTTGAGTAGTAGTAACTAGTACATGTGCATAAAATAAATACTACATGTGCATGTATGCTCGCTCATGATTGGCCGTCGAGTGATTTCATTTCCAACCCGATATATCGATATGGAAATAATAGAATATATAACATGAATTAAAAAAAACAATAGGATTGGAGTAGTAGCTAGAGAGCGAGCGATCGAGCGAGATAATAGAGAGAGTAGCGTGCCCGATCACGTACTTGCGTCGAGCTGGGAGCTGACGAGCTCGAGGTAGAGCGACCTGCCGATGAGGTCCTTGACGTCGTCGATGGCCCTGGACGGCCTCAAACTGTTCAGGAACCCACCGACGGTGACCTTGATCGTCGCCACCGCCGTCACCCGCACCGGCGCTGCCGCCATGACCGACGACGCTGCAGCGCTCGCGCTACTGCTGCTGCTCGGCGCCTCCGACGATGACGACGCCGCCACGCACCCTATGGTCGTCTTCCTCTTGTTCTTCCCTCTGTCCCGCGACCGGCGGAGCTGGACCACCGACGACGGGCGTCTCAGCGAGGAGGGAGAGGAGGAGGCGAGGGGGAAGAAGAGAGGCCCAGCTTGACCTCGTCCTGGTGTTGCTCTGCTACAGCTGCTGAAACAGCTATGGGCGTTGCTGCGTAATGGCTTGAGATGCAGAGCCATGCTGCAGCTGCAGGGTGTTTATATAATACGCGGCGAGACGTGAAGTCAAAGGATCGAAGGGCGAAGCTTTGGGCTTGCGTGTGTGCTTCTTCTATAGCTTAGTGCTCTTTAATGGCGTGTGGATGCCCGCCATATATATGCATGTGAGAGCTGGATGGGGAGGACGTGGGCAGCTTCTTCGCTCACGGCGGAGACGAGGGGGCCGTCGTCGGATCTGACCTAGATTTTGTTTGAAAGCTGTGCTGTGGATATGGCTGACGAGAACGTCGTTTTGCCTTAAGATTGTAGGAAAAGTTGTGGCACGGATATAGATCATTTATTGGGTGCCTAATACTAATAAACAGGTTTGCTTGTTATTGGTCTGATGAGTCTGACTTTGAGAATCAATCCATTCAACATGTGGGAAGTTAGTTTATCAAGATTTGATAAACTTAAGCCTCTTTTGGCACGGCTCATCCAAAACGGCTTCACCGGTGAAGCTAGAAAAACTGGTTTTTTCCGGCTTCTAATTTATTTTAACCCCGGCTTACAAAACGGCTTCACGCTACAGTGGCTAGATTTGCGCAAAATAGATGAAGCCGAAGCCGACATAAGCCGTGCCAAAGAGGTCCTTAGTTTACAGTACAACGGTACTCCCTCAGATTGAACCATTGATGTAAGGCAAGGCGTGTTGTACCTAGATAAAAGTCAAAATATACTATATGCTTAACCAAGAATTTGTCAAATGTATTGTTGTGAAAATTGAAATCCTCCTCGTGAGTGGCCATTGAGGAGTCAGGAGAGTATAATTGCTCATCTAGTATTTTGCAACTATATATATCTGTATTGAAGTTGCTTTAAGAGGATATTTATAGCATAAGAAAAGTTAAGAGTTCAAAAGTATTTTATTTAATATACTTTTTCTTGTAGAAGAATATATACTATACCTCATGCGTACTATAAATCTTTGATCAGATATACAAAAATATTGATAATATAAATAACTCACTGCACCTCGAAACCTATGGAGAATTGTATTTTTCTACTTTTCTCGTGTTCTTTTCTACTGTGTTGCTCCTTAAATTATACGCCACTTTAGTTTTTGTCCCCAGTCATACTTTAATTTTGAAATAAATATAAATAAACATATGGATGATAATATATTCTTCTCTAAAAACTTGTTCAAATTAAAGTATATGAGTTTGACTGCCTTGAATTTGCAACGAGGGGCTATAAAAAAAACTCGAACATGGGGAGTAAGATAGCACCGAGCATTGTGCTTAAGAAGAAGACATTCTCACGCAGGTCGAGAAAACCTCCGAACCTCTGCCGCACCTATACACAGCGGCACCGTAGCTCCCGTGAGACTGGGCTGGCCTTAGACCTGTGCTTTAGCGTGGGGCAGACGAGGGGATTTTTTTCAACACGCAGATAAACTGCGCCTCCTCCAGCCAATAAATCCGCCCCCGAGGGGGTTCGAACTCTGGCCGACAGGGTGCGAATCGCAGAGTCAGACCAACTGTCTAGCGTTAAATTGTTTTCTTGTTTCTAATGTGTTCTACGACAAATCCAATGCTATCCTTACAAAATTGGAAGACCCAATATATATATATATATATATATATATATATATATATATATATATATATATATATATATATATATATATATATATATTCAGTAGCCAGCTACAAAATAAGTTATTCTGTAGCCACCTCTATTTACGATAATTTTATATACTAATTTACGATAATGTCAATACATATTTACGATAGTTGGGTTACTATAACATATGCGGATATTTACCATAATGTTATAGTAAACCACTTAGTAATGAGTTACTATAATCTCGTAAATTAACATAGTAATTATCGTAACTCAAAGTGGCTACAAATTATTTTGTAGCCAGCTACAGAGTATATATATATATATTAGGCGACCGGTCATGCTACCTTGTCGGCGTGTGACTGCGGCCGCCATGATGATGGGCCCCTCTTCTTCTCCACCTCTGGCGGCCTTAGAAGGGGGTCGGGCGAGGAAGGCAGGCGCAGGAGGTGGCCGGACCAGGTTGGGGGCGGGGCCGCCCATGGCCATGGCAGTGGTGGGGGAAGGAGGCCACCCTCAATTATAATAGAAGAGAGACAATATATATATATATATATATAGTATATTCAGTAGCCAGCTACAAAATAAGTTATTCTGTAGCCACCTCTATTTACGATAATTTTATATACTAATTTACGATAATGTCAATACATATTTACGATAGTTGGGTTACTATAACATATGTGGATATTTACCATAATGTTATAGTAAACCACTTAGTAAGGAGTTACTATAATCTCGTAAATTAACATAGTAATTATCGTAACTCAAAGTGACTACAAAATAAGTTATTTTGTAGCCCACTCATAGTAGTAGTATATATATATATATATATATATATATATATATATATATATATATATATATATTAGGCGACCGGTCATGCTACCTTGTCGGCGTGTGACTACGGCCGCCATGATGATGGGCCCCTCTTCTTCTCCACCTCTGGCGGCCTTAGAAGGGGGTCGGGCGAGGAAGGCAGGCGCAGGAGGTGGCCGGACCAGGTTGAAGGCGGGGGGGCCATGGCCATGGCCATGGCTGGTGGGGGGGGGGTGGGGGAAGGAGGCCACCCTCAATTATAATAGAAGAGAGACAACCGTTGACAAGCAAAGATCTGTTGACAAGTACATATTTTATTTCAAACTACTTCCTCCTCCTACCCTCAAGTATAAAACGTTTTAGCTTGTCTAGATTCATATATATTATTATATATCCAGACATAACATACATCTATGGGCATAATAAAAACTATGAATATAGAAAAAATCAAAACATCTTATAAGGGTAGCTCCAATAATCGACTTTTAAGCTAGATCTAAGCATTTTTATCATATTTTAATAGAACAGAGAAAAGCTAGCTCTTAATCAAGAGCTAAGCTCTTGCACACATCTCAAGGTTATATGAGAGTGTCATGTGGGGCTATTCATGTTAAAAGTTATGTGCCAAAAGTTAGCACTATTGGAGAAGGCTTAGGCCTAGTAATTAGCTCTAACCATTGCGGGTGCCCCTAATTTGAAACAAAGGGAGTAATAATATTACGGAAATGCTTTGCTGAGCGTCCCATGCTTTTATAGAGTTTCAGACGGACACACAGACCTTAATTCTCGTGTGCTCCTATCCAAGTGACACCACCCCGTCCATTCTTATATATCCACTCAATTCATCTCATGTGCGGGACCCGCATATCATCCTCTCATCTCTTCTTTCCCCTCCGTCTTCCAGAGCACGAACGCAAGAGCGAACTTTCTTAGTCGTCTTTCAGAGGAGGAACACAAATTATGGGCTGCTGCCCATGGCCGTCGCCGTTGCATGGCTTGCCCCCCCCCCCCAAAATAGTATCGCTTACCTTCTCCATCGTAGGGGCTGCCCGCCAACACGGCGGCACCGCACCGGCACTGCTCCGTGCGCCCACGCCACGCCACCATCCACCTCGCCCATCGCAGAAGGGGACGCAGTGGAGGCTTGCATCTGCGTCTGGTCGGGGAGGCCTGCGCTTACACCCCATTCACCTCACGTCGTCGGCAGGAAGGGGCTCGGAGGACTGCGCCACCGTAGTTCCCCACATAGGTAGGCAGTGGCCGCCGCCGCCGCTGTGTTTCAAATGTATCAGGCACTTTCGGACATGTTGCAAGCCTATATTTCAAGTGTTTTTAATTATTTCAGATGTATATTTCAAATGTTTTATACGGATGTTGCAATAGTTGTACACGTATATTGCAAGCGTCTGTTCCCAATATTTCATCTATTTTTTAGACGTATGTTGCGAGTGTGTTCATCTGGGTGTTGCATATGTTTTATACATATATTGTAAGTGTTTTATCTAGATATTACGTGTGTTTGCAATTGTTTTCAACTATTTTTAGGTGTTTTTGCAAGTGTTTCAGACACATGTTAAGTGTTGCATCTATCTTCTTTTGTACATTGCAAGTGTTGTATTTAAATGTTTAAAAAGTAGATGAGGTGCTGCATATGGAATACGTGTGGAAAGCGAAAGGGGGCGCGAGCGATCCTCGCGCGCGGTTAGGTGGCGCGGGCCCGCTGCTGGAGGGCTCGCTCGCAAGTCCGACTTTGCTGGCGCACTCGCTCGATCGTTGTGCAGGCACCGTCGGATACTACGTCTCAGATTAGACGTCGATATTATATAAAACTTACGGCCCACGCACAGATGGAATATATCATCGTCATAATAAATTCATAATTACGTTCCGCGTGAATTCACGCGTTTCATGCCGGTCCCCGCCGCGCGCATCTTCATTACTGCTACTAGTCCTAGATGCCTGAACCAATTGACCTTTCTTTCTTTCTCACTGACCGACGACGAAGAGCACGTACGACGTATATATACTATTCTGCCGCGCAGCCTTGCTCAAGTCATACCTTGTACATACGCGGTATTTATATCTCATTTACAAGGCATATATACTCCGTACAATTCTACGTTACCACTAGTATATATACCTATATACTTATCTGATCTGAGTACTACCGCGTAGCACCAGTGCCAAATTGCATTGCACTGTGAACGCGCACAAGCGCGCACGCATCTAGATGTAGCTAGGAATTAATTCATCTTTCTTGGAGTATATTACACTGACGGGTACGTACGTATATATAGGTATATATAGCCTCGGTCAAAGTCGTATCCGATGCGGTGCGGTATTGGTATACATACGTATGGGATGTTTATACTACAAGCAAAGAAAGCATAATTCATGCTTCCAGATCTATTAATTATGTGCTTCCATCCAGAATGTAAAGAATGTGGAGTCCGATCGATCCATCCGGTACGCCGTGCACACAATCGACTAGACCGGTTACATTGCGACCGAGTCCCGAATGGTTACAACCATGGCACAACCGATGAGAGAAGGGTTGCAATTGCAACCGAGTAATTCTGATCGGTTTCAACTGAGTC